ATTACAAACAAACTCCTTCTACTCAGTTCCTCTTTTCTGTGTCTGATTTATTAATATGCCCGTGCACTAAAACTTCCTGTGCAGCTTGGAATAACGTCCCCTTTCTGAGGTCTGTTGCCAGGGCAACCTGTCTGAACTTAGTTTCACTCTGTCTGTTGCTCATACTCTACAAAAAACATGCAGTTTCCTGTCAGCCTGTGACCTAGTCTCAAAGCTGGCCCTCTTTTATACATAAAACAATATAATCAGCAAATAAGCATTAAAATATATATTTAAATCTCAACACTCGGTACATCAATCTTATAGTTCAAGGTCACGTCGCTTTACATGACTCATCTGGGTTCTAAAAATAGATGCAGATGAGAGGAGCACTCGCTCGTTTGTTGAAATGTAAATTCAATGTATTTTTGTAATTACATTTATAACAAACATCAATATGGAAACAGTGAAACCAAAGAGCTTCACACAGATTAAGCAAACAAACACAAACCCCAAAGAAAGGAGGTCTGGAGGAGATGAATGGAGAGGTATGAAAAGAATAGGAGGTGGGTCTTTCAGTACGTAAGCCCTCTCCACCTTCTGAGCCCAAAGTTTAAACGTGTTGTCTTTAGGACCCATAGATACATGCGGTGGACAACTCAAGATAACAAAAGTGAGCAACTGTTGTTGCCATCCAAAAACACATTTATGGCTTTTAAAAACCAGACTGTTTCCACAAAGTAGTCATTCCCATAACATGTAATAAAAGGTGCCAGTTGAAGAGCATAGTTTACACTTGAAGGTTCATATAGCTTCCACAGCTGTAGATGGAAGTAAAAGTTAAACTGCACAGAGTTCTTACGAACACATCACCATGAGAATAGATGCTACAACTGCAAACCGTAAACACTCTTTGTTTGTTTTACATCTGCTATAACTAGGATCAGGTAAGGGCAGGGGATACTGGATAAAAGAGACGCTTTGAAACGGAGCCAGAGATTAATACTTACCCACGATTAAATGAAGGATTGTGTATAAACATAGAGAGTTTGGATAAACATCACCACTTTAATGTCTGTGATGCGGAGGAACAGAAACAAGCATTGGAAGTTTAGGTGTATCACATCGATCAAACCATTATAGGTCCTGAGCAAGTTTGGATCTCACAGGGTTTGCATGTCGGTGTTTCTGATAAAATGCTTGGAAGAAAAAAATAAAAGGTGCAAAATTTCAGCTTACCTGTATGTACTTTGAAGACCTGAAAGTTTGAAAATATTCATAGTATGACAGTGAAATTTTGCATGCATAGAAAAAAAAATCAGCTTGACGGGGTCTGGTGGGAACTTTTTAAAATTCAGTATATTTATAATGAATGACCCACTTCTGAGTGGGGCAAAGCCTCACCTCTGGAAAAATTCTCATGTAAATCCATCCTTAACTTTTTTTTTTTTGAAATGTCATCATGAAATAAATGCAAAGGCCTGTGTCCCCAATGGTGTTTTTTACGGTTTTTGGGTTCTGGGTCTTCCAGAGGAGCAACTTCTCTTGGCAGAGGCCTGTTTAGTCTCCAGTGATCAGATATTTTTATTCCCCTGTGGTCGTTTATCTCTCTGCTGTGAGGCGGATCCAGCAGCGCTGCTGTCCAGCTCTGAACTCTTTTGCTGATCGCTGAGATCAAGATAAAGACAGCTTGTCAGCTGTAATCAATCAGCTGCTGTTGTTTTGGCTGTGATTGATCCCTCAGCAGGTAACAACCTTTACTTTGCACTAAATGACAGCATGATTGATCTTTAGTAGTGCTGACTCATAGAGTGCATATACAGTAAGAGGAGACAACAAGGTGCCAAAAAATAAAGAAATAAACTCCCGAATA